TTCAGCTCTTGGCTGCTCATAAATGTCATTATGTTCCATTTGGTAAGAAAGAAGGAGCTGAATTGGTCTCCTTGTTACCTCTATTTGGACAAGAACCTCTGAATAATCAGTCTGCACAGACACCTGTTACAGACACCTGCACTAGAATCAGTTTCTCTCTCTGCTATTTCATGATCTTACACTTTTTAAAGAATAGATTTAGCTTAGAAAACAAAAAATAAAATGCAATTTTTAATATTTACATATGTATTCCTATCTGTCTGTTTGTTATATTTACCTTTTTAAATATGTTTTAGTTAGTCATGGACAGTTTATATGTAAAAGTTGAAAGTTACATAGTTGATAGTCTATGTATCTATCAACTAACCCTCTAGGAACAAAGCAACTATAATCTAAGTTGATAGTTGGTGGTTACTTGGTTAATAATTGCGTAGTTGACAGAGTGTAACTAACAACTATAAACTAACTTATGTAAAATAAGTAACTATCAGCTGTAAAACTCTCAATGAGCTACTAACTGAAATATTTTTACTAGGTGATCTAAAATAATTGTGAATCTCCTGAGTATAAAAAGTATTCACCCCTTTTGAAATGATATGCCTAAATTACTAGTGTAACCAACTGGTTTGAGAATCACAATGTTTTCTGTTGATTGTAATATAAATGCACCTGTATCTGGAAGCTCCAGTGACTGGTCAGGCAGTATTGCGGCATAACTTAAACTGTGAAAAATTATTAAAACAAATCAGTGAAAAAATTGAAAAGTACAGGGCATGAATACAAGTCATTGATTGAATATCCATTGGAGCCAAGTTAAGTCCGTAATTAAGAAATGGCAAGTAAGAAGGAGACTGCTCAGGGAGGCCACCAATGACTGGCTTTATATAGAAACCACTTAAAACTACTCCTTAGTCACAGCCTAATGAGTGAGTGGCGAAGAGAAAGCCACTGTTGAAAAATGTCATATGACATCTCGGCTACAGTTTGCAAGAAGGCATGTGGGAGACTCTGAAGCCAGCTGGATGAAGATTCTGTGGTGAGACCAAAATTTATCTTTTGGCCATCTGACTAAATGGCATGTCTGGTGCTGAACATCAAAAACACATCATCCTGACTGTGAAGCATGGTGGTGGCAGCCTCATGCTGTGTGGATGCTACTTTTCAGCAGGCCCTAGAAGGAATATGAGAGTAAAATAAACAGGGAAATCATGGAGGAAAATGGGATGGGTGATGGAGTCTGCTGGACACCTGTGATTTGGGAGATTTGTTTTCCATCGAGATAGTGCCCACAATCATAAAGCCATGGCTTCAAAACAATGTTAATGTCTTGGAGTGGCCAAGTCTGAATCCAGTTCTCAATCCAATTGAAAATTTATGGCTGTCCGCTGACAATCTCCATGCAATCTGACTGAGACAGTTGCCAGATGTGCAAAGCAGAGACACATCTACACAGACTCTGGCTGTCTATCAGTCAGTCGTTCTATCGTTCTGTATATCATTCTGTCGGTCGTTCTGTTGGTCTTTTTTTTTTAACTGCAGGAGTTTGTCAAGGCAAGGCAGTGTTAGTTTATTAACATTTTTGGGATATCCTCAAGGTTATAATTATGGTCTCTCTTGATCTGCTGACAAATGTATTGTATTCTGTAGAATGAAAGTGCTGCCAAACTGCAATTGGACCTCTTCATTCATTGTCTTTGTAGGGCTGCAATTGTTGTTTTGTTTTTTGTTTTTTACTTTTTACATCTGTCTCGGGTAACAGTCAGTTTATTAGATCATAATTAATGCTCCATGTAAATTCAGTTCCTACCGAGTCTTCCAGCACATCAGTTTTTCCAAGTTTATTTGAGATGCAGATCAGGCAAGGCTGTGAATGGAATATACTTATCATGTTTATATTTTTGGAGTGTCAGAAGAAATGAAGGCTCACAATAAAATCTGAAAAGGGTAATTTAAACTTAATTGGCTCCAGTGAGCTCCATGTACCCTTGTTTTCCACTCCTGTTGGCTTGAGAAATGTCTTCCTCTACTAATGCTGCACGTCTCCATCAAAGGCCATGCCAGTCCACATTAACTGCCCTTTATAATGGCAGAAATGCCATTAATGGAATAAAATACTCCACTTGTTGTTTTGGAACAGCTGGTTTTTGTTCCATCACCTTACATCAGAGCTTCTCGAGAATTACATATGTTCTCAGTCAGCAAGTCCTTTCAGAAGCTCTATTAGATTTAGTACTTAGTACTCTTGTTTTGGGCAACAAGCTAGAATTTTACCTGAAACATTTTTAGAAGTGAGCCTTGAATATAGTTCCAGGAAATAAAACCTGTTCGACTTATTTTAAAATGTACTTAGCTGATGTAAAATCTACTATTTAAACCTACTGCAGGCTCTAAAAATAGCATTTTGTCATGGAACAGAATAGCACTCCTGTGTGCAAACACTGCATATTGATGTTTCTGTACTATTGAGACTTTCATCAATGTGTACAAACATGCAGTCCATAAAAAATCTCTGCTGTAGTAGGTAAATATCCCTATATATTCCTCAGACAGGCAATGCAAATGAAACTTGTCATGTTGTTACTGCATGGGTCATTGAAATTTGACCAGAATTGTAGGTTAATGGCCACTGGGAAATCCATCATTCTGTTTGAGAGTCTAAAGGGAACTGCTAGACACTGTAGTAGCCTTGAAGTAGAGCAGACTTTGGCATCTATATGTCTTCCACACACACCGTGTTAATTCCCTCTGACATAAACATAAGATACATGCATTTTGGACTGAAACCCCCACCGGGGACAGCTCAGATACTTAGGAAACCGATTTGTTTTTTGGCATTGATTAAGCATGACCATAAGAGGTTCTCTGGATCTCTGGCTCTGTCACCAAGTAGCATCTGTGGCATTTCAAAGAGTCAGGACCAAAATAAACCAGCTATGTAATCGAAGAGCAGGACAGATTTAAATCAATGACACAGGAAATTCCTGGGTCCACTTCATAGTATTCATGAGAGGAGTAAACCCTCAGGTGAGGGCACATGTTTTCCCAGTTGGTTATGTGATTTGAGCCCTGATTGGGTTATATAATTATAGCATTATAGATTTTCCGACTATTTGTCTCTTGTTTCCAACATAACTGTTGACTGAAGTTGCTCAGTTGTTTTTCTGCTGCATTAAATCACCTGCTTATAAGACATAGAACACTTCATTTATAAGAATAATTGTTAAACAAAACAGGCACTAGATAGTCATGTTTGACTGTTGTACTCATATCTTTTGCAGCTTGTTACGCATCACACAGGATTCTAAAAACACATGGTCAAATTAAAAGTAGTTCAACTTTTTTTTTAAACGCGTCTTTAGACCTTGCTTTATTTTTGTGTGATTGTCGTTCTACTTAACAGAAAGAATGTAAATGAAGGGGACTTGAGCCCCCCTATTCAGTGATGTGCTCATCTGCCAGAATTATGTCATGTCTTTGAATTGTTCATTTGGGGGATTTTTTTCCCCTGAAAATATTGATATGCAAATAATTGCAATTAATTTGATTGATCCATGGTTATCATTAACTATAACTGAGACTAACGCCACAAAAAACATTAACTGAACTGAAATACATACTGAATATATATTATATTTAGTTTAAAAAAACTTATTTTATTTCAGCTAGTTGCCAAGGCAGCATTTCTAATTTTCATTTAGGTAAATTTGAAGTACATAAATAACAAAAATTAAATATTAAACTATATATATACATACATACATAAAAAAACACAAAATAATAAAAAGGACAAAATAACTAAAACTTTAACTAAATTAAAAAAAAATCGAATTCAAAATGTTAATAAAATTATGATAGAATATCAGTGATACTAAAATAACAGGATAGATCGTCATATCATGTAATTATTATTTTTTTAATTTAAATTAATCAAATTGCAATCCTAGTAAAATAGACATTATTCTTTTCCAGCCTATTGGTTTTCTGTTTTGTTTTTTTATCCTATCAGCCTCTCTCATAAAAATGTAATGTCTTATAATACTTTTTTCCACATATTTTTCTCAGTTCTTTTTGTTATGCTGACTGTCTGCCAAAATGGTAGTGATTATTAAAAGATTAAACAGTCTCATCCACAGTAATGTTATGCAATCCCTCAGTTATCCGCAATTTCTTCAGCATAAAGTGGCCAAAAGTAATTTTGCAGAATTGATTCTTTGAAATGAGATGCTATTTATAAAGGATAAACTATATCCATATGTGGCCCGTCACAGATTTTAATCGGAATAGACAAAGAACATTGCAGTAGGACATGTGAACTGCGACTTTGCTGAAGGACATTCGTGAAAGATGGAGTCCAAACACATGATGTGCTTTTTGACTTTTTGAAATTTTTTATATATTTTGATCACACATGGTTTGTAGCGTGTTTTTTGCTGTTTGCAAGCAGCACATCAATTTGCAAGGGGGCATTTACACGACACCATTTTTAGCTAAAAACGGAAAACTTTTCATGCGTTTTGGCAGTTCATTTACAAGACAATGACATTTTGGGGGCCTGAACTTTTGAAAACTGGTTTCAAAGTGCAAGTTTTTGAAAATGATGCCGTTATCGTCTCCATGTAAACTACAAAAACACGAATTTGTAAAAAAACAGTGACGTATGTTATGCGAATTGCCTGTTCAGGCATGTGCGAGTACTTTACAACAAATACAACAATGGCGAACTACAGGATCATGTTTGTGCTCCACAAGATACTGATTTATGAATGCTTCTCCCGCAAAGTGTAGATTTACTGCACCACTACTACGACCTGGGAAGATGCATTATTTACATACATTGAAGAATGTGTTTGTGCATAGGTGCATGACATTGCCAACTATTGGCCTGGCATGCATGTTCGTTGCCGTGTAAACGTACCCAAAGTGGATTTCATCAGCAATCCTGAATTTTTGTTCTTGTAGCATAATATTAAATTATTTGTGTTGCTGTGATTGGTCTATAGGTGGCTAGAGGTGGGTGTGGTTAACCTGACCTGTACGCAGTATTGGGTGATTTATCTGCGGGTACTGCAGGAGGCCATCTGGCCTGGAGGAAGTCTGCCGGCTCAACCCCGACCCCAACGCAGCCCGCAGCAGAAACAGGAGAGCAGAAAACAGGCTCTGCAGTGCCTTATGAAACTACTGCCAGGTGAGACGCCTCATAATATTCACACATACACTACCGTTTTAACCCTCTGGGGTCTGAGGTGTTTTCTGGGCCCTGGAGGTCTTCTGACATGCGCTGACATTTGTGCTTATTTCTGTTACTTGTGACATTTTCATGACTAAAGTCTGATTACACTGTATTCAGCACAAACTCTGCGACAATAATGTCAGCAGCATGTATGTAAAAGTTTGTAGTTTTGAGATAATGACATTTATCCGTGGTTTGTGGGGAAAAAATGTTACTGAAATAAGGTCATAAAACCCATACTGATTGTTTCTTCACAAGACTTTTGAAAATTGTATCACGTAGCCTAGAATATTTGCTTCAAAACTATGCGAAAATCATCCTGCATACTCATTCAGATAAAACAATATATCGATTTAAAATTTGTAAGACATGTTTTGTGTATGAAAGCTCTATGCGAGAAGGGCGTGAATCATCATGAATATTGATGTGTTTCACACCTGAGAAAGACAAAGACCCTCCCATAATGGCCATATCAGGTGCTATCAGGCCCTATCATTATGAGGAACCTTGCACAAAGAATGAGGAGAGATTTAAAAAAGAATGGCTATTTGATTGTTTGGATTTATTTACAACACAACATAAACCAAAGATACACAACAAATGACAAAAAATGCACATTATTGAACACACTGATCTAAAGACATACAGACTTGAAAAGTCACACACCTTTGTGCCATTCCTGAAACATAGTACATACCTGTCATTTCCAATGTGTTTGATTTTTCATTCACATGAGTCTCTGTACATGAACATGGTAAAGTCAGCAGGACTTATCAGTGGCACCTGGCCCCTCTAAAAACAGCTGTGAACATGCTGATATCAAGAGAAACTATAGGGCTGCACGATTTTGGAAGTACATTTTTGATTTTTCTGGCTAAAATTGCGATTTAAAATTTACAAAATACACACACACACAAACACACACACATATATATATATATATATATATATTAGGGCTGTCAATCGATTAAAATTTTTAATCTAATTAATTACATACTCTGTAATTATTTAATCTAAATTAATCGCATACACAATCTTACAATGTTTACATGGTACAATTTCTGGTAAGCTACGTTTTTATTATTATTGCTTAACACAAATTTCACGATTTCAATTTAATTCAATTTTTGTGATTTGATGCAATATTGACTCATTTGGATAAATATTAGGTACACAAGATAGGCATTCATTTTTCTCAAGAAAAAAAAAACTCACCCAATGCTGTAAAAATACAGAGAGCCATATCAGCTGGAAGTCTTTAAGGTTAAAAATAGCTCAAATTAAATATAATGCGTGTTTATTACAAATAACAACTTTGATAAGTAAAAATATAATACATATGTAATATAGTAGTAGGCTACATAAATTTAGAAAAACACTCTCTATAGCTCTTTTTTATAGCCAACTATAACGTGCTATATGCTATATGACTTTCCTGAGGTAACTTAGGCTAAATGTTATGTGACATAATTGTTCTCCAGCTGTTTTATTGACCTCTTTTCGCGGTTGAAAAACACTGATTGATCGAGGAATATACATTTCGGTAAGTTTTAGGCTGCCCTACTGTATCTTTCAACATTGTTCATTCGTGTTTATTTAGGCTACTATTAGCTAGAGATGATCGGTTCACGTGCCGCTATGGATCTGTCATGTCACATTTACAAGCGCCAACGGTATTTATTGTTTGATTTTCGTAATAAAATTTACAGAATCTGAGAGCTGAGATTTTTTTAATATCATAAGTAACGTGCTCTGTCTTGTCTGTTTCCGTGTCCTCTCTTTGGTGCGCGATTTTTCTGTACGTGAGAAAATGGTTGTGTGACGTGAGAGCGCGTGAAAAGTTACAACACACACACACACACACACAAGCGCGCTTTCTCTCAGACACACTCACCGACTCACGCACACACTCCTGGATGCTTTGCATTGATGTGGTACTTTAGAGTTGACGAACTCCGTTTGTTATAAGTAAATGTTCCAAACAATCAAGCAGCGCGTTCTTGTCTCCCTCCTTTTTACACGAATGGTGGCTACGGCTAAAACGGCTCCGCAAAGGTCAAAACGGAATGGATTAATCTGCGTTATTTTTTTAACACGTTATTTCTTCTCAGATTAATTAATCGAAATTAACGCGTTATTTTGACAGCCCTAATATATATATATATATATATATATATATATATATATATATATATATATATATATATATATATATATATATATATATATATATATATATAATGAACACCAGGTTTGTGTTCATTATTTATGGCTACGTGTAGTGCTGCATAAAATAATAATAACAATAGCCTATAGCAGGCGGCCTATAAATCGTTAAAAAGGAACACTTCAGTAACACTACACTTGAGAAAAATATATGGATTATCATATGTTACTTCAAATGTTTCCATTCGTTATGACGTTATGAAATGAGATTGGAGTAAAAACATGAAGCCTGATGTTTGGCGCATTTTGCTTTTCAAACGCACAGCGCGAGTGACTCAAACTCACAGCGCGTGCAGAGAACATTTACTGAAGCGATCGAGCCGCTCCAAACTACGAAACATTATTGTTACCATATTATACATATCTACGTTTGAGCAGATATCCACAAACACAGTATTTAACAGTAAACACGGGTCTAAACATTATAATATTCACCATATTAGAGTAAAAACTCATACTAGCCTACTTTTATCATGCTGTTTTATATTATCGAAAAACATCCTCGTGTCGTACATGTATATAAATTTAGCATTGCAGGTTGCCTACCTTTCTAGTTCACATTTCAACATGTTTCTGTCTATATATAGATACATATACATGTACGACATTAGGCTTCATGTTTTTACTCCAATCTCATTTCATAACATACATTCTAGTCTGGCACCAGTTTAACTAGTAGCTATACAATGTAAAGTTTATACAACAATAACAAGCAAATCAAATCACGTTCTTCTCATTCTTCTGAGGTAAATCCAAGGTAAACGGCACAGCACAAACACAGTCTTCCAAACTCAAAGAAAAGCAGAGGAGTACGTTACTGGAGTCTCTGATTCTTTGTTTTTGAGGTGATGGGCGTTTACAGGCCTGTTCCTTCACGTGGACTATTTGCATGTCAATCACTGTGTGGTCACATTAGAGTTAATGAGGAGCGTTTGAGAAACTGTACATGTCGTTGCTTTCATACGGATTACTTAAACAGAGAATATTTGTTTTTTATATCATTTACATCATTTAAAAATAGAGACTCCAAACTTTGTAAAGACATGCGTCTCAAGTCTGTGTGACAAACATTCTCTGAGTTACAGCGTTTCAGAATTAACTTCACATTGAGAGAGACGGCAGAGCGCGCATCATGTTTATTTTCTTTATTTTACGAAAAACACAACATTTTGTTTTTATTATGTGTGCACAAATAAAAGATGACATTTAAAGCAACACTATGGAACTTTTCAACCTTCATAATATATGTCCAAGACCCTTGTGATGGTACATCGACTTACAGTAGGTTAAATGACACGTCTGCCATAGCCTGACGTGGTCTGTATCGCTTTTACTCGCACTATGTAACTTCGGGTTTCGGGTAGTAACCTGAGCACAAAAGACTACAAAACTCGACTGCTTTACGGCATACGTCACTTCCCCCACCACTTCCTCAAATTGTCTGTGGCCATTGCAGACATCCCAAGTCTATAGCGTCTCCCTGATGCCCGCAAATTAGTTCAAATCTGCCGGAATCTAGAGCGCGCATGCGAGACAGAACATACTGCGCGCATAACATACATAGCGCGAGCACGGCAGAGAGGGAGAGAGCGAGAGGCCTTGCGAGTGTGCCTCACGAAAGCTAGTCAACCCGCCACCCCCCGTCAACAATCCAGTCACCAAAGCCCCTTTCACACAGCGCTTTGAACCCGGCAAATTGCCAGAGTGCCTTCTGTGTGAACGCAAACACGACCCGGGATTGATGCCGGGATCGATGCCGGGTTGGGGACCTAGTAACATTGCCGTGTTCAGACCCGGAACGCGCGCTGTGTGAACAAAAGCCAGAACCAATGCCGTATAAGGGGTGTGTCGTAGTGAGGATTCACGAGCCTTTGCAATGACGTAGTTATCGTGCGACTCAGTTACTCTAGAAGAAAGTTTGTGTTCGTCATCGATACAAGAAAGAACGAAAATGTCTGCAAACTGGACTGAAGTAGAGACCCGTCACATCGAAGGGGGTAATCCATCAGTCGGAAACTGAAGTCTACCCGGGAGCCGCCATTGGCTAACAAGCCTTCACCTGCTGTTAGCATCCCATTGACTCCCATTCATTTTGGTATCACTTTGACAGCGAATAACTTTACATCTGAGGCGTTTAAAGACTCCATTTGTCCATTGTTTATTTCTAAAGAAACACGACAATGTATAAAAGGCTCCATTACCTTGTATCTTACGTTATGGCCCCGTAGAAGCAGTTTTTGTAAAAATAGGCTAACGATTGCGTCATAACACGCGACTCTCTGTCGCACAGTACAGAAATTACCGTATAGACAGAAGTAGAAGCTCATGCACAATCGGGGAGACGTGGAGGCATAAAGTCAAGGGAGAAGCCCATAGAGAGTTGTAAAGTTGATCCTGCTACGAGCTCATGGACAGCTAATACTCACGATCTCCGGCTCTGCAAGATTCGGAAGGGAATAATTCAGATTCCTCTTGGCACCGCTACTAGAAGACGTACAACTGTCAGACAGGTTGCTCACGTCACATCCACGTCGTCCAGCTCAGTTTGAGCCTGCGCAGTTCGCTTGACAATCAGGAAGTGAGTGCTTCTAATTGACTTCACTTTTCTCCGTTGAAGTCTATGGGGTCGCTGTGTCCATTTCTTTTACTGTCTATGGTCACATCCAACGTCACGCGTCTTTCCGGAACATACACGGGTTGTTTGTGAACACGCTCTCTGATTCCGGCAAATCACTGGCAGTGTGAATGAAGCAAAATCAAACGAACCCGGGTCAAATCCCGGGTCACTTTATCCGTGTATTTTCCGGAATCTCTGTGTGAAAGGGGCTCAAGATATACCTCCCTGAAATGACTTCTTGCTGGTAAAGATGTCTGCCATTGTTGATTCCAAAGCCGGTGCTGGATAAACAGCGAGCGTGCGTGTGCGACAGTAGGCTGCGGTAGGCTAAATTATTTACGACAGCGGTAATGGACAATTCCGCTTCCAAACTGTAGGGCGACCGCAGAGGAAAAGTTCCTTGGTGTTGCTTTAACAGTTTTGAATGATTTATAACACTTATATTAAGATCAAAATTAACAGAGTATTTTGAGTCTCTTTTGAAAGAAAAAAAGCGAGCTGGATAACGCTTTAATATTTTTATTGATTGATTTGTAACTTTTGAGAGAACATTTTCGATTTTATATTTTTTTAGCATTTAATAATGTGTTTTGGATGGAACAGGTAAAATTTGACCTTTGAAAAATATGGTTTACAAATAATTGGGTGATTTGAGACAAAAAACCATTGTTCAGAAGCTGAATCAAAACATAAGGGAAGGTCAGAGGAAACCACCTCAACAGAAGTTGAGTGTAGTGTAGTCTAGCAGATCTTCATCTCTGTTCCTTGACTGAGTTTATTGTGTTTTTACAGATCTGATTTGTGATATGCTGGGCTCTGAGAAGTACAAGATATCTTGGCAGACGGTTGTGGATTCTTTTCAGGACCCCACCATAAACAGGTGTGTTTGAGCACTGAACACAGATGAAGATAAAAATCAGCACCGCAGCCATTTATGCAATGTTCCTGTATGCATATTTATGAGATTAATAACGTTGATTGTAAATTCCAAATTCCGTGGAAATGTCAGGACGTACATGAAAATATAGCCAGAAATATATTGTAACATCTTGTCACCACTGTTCAACATTTTGAACTGTTTGTAGCTGCAAAAATAGCATAAATATTTCATGAGGCGAGCAGATATGGTCTAGTGAACATATGGTTTTAATGGTTAAAATGGTCAGGTTGTAATTTACTTTACTATTTACTACTTTACTATCATTCTTTTTATGGCACACTAAGTAAGCAATGCCGATAAAAGAATGCAAAAATGTGCTTTCAATAGATACATCGCTGTGTTGTGTTATCAGGGCACCTCGTGACATCTTTGTAGACTGTTACCACAGTGGGGATGCATGATTTATTCTCACCAGCTTGGGTTTTGAAAGTTTTGATTTACTAGAACACGCTGTAGTCTTCTGTAGATGTCCAGATGAAGCAGATGCTGTTACAATCAGTTATACATTGACTTAGTATCCTTTGCTTTATGAGCTGTTTGTGCTGTATAAAGAGGTGGGAAGGCAACAAGGCATGTCCCAATCCAGTGTCTGCGTGACATCCTGTTTAGGATCTTCAGGTTTTTGATGATACAGTGTTGTTGGATCTGTGTTCAGGATGTACTGTCTGTAGCAGTGCTCGTGAACTCCTGTGACTGTTTTTTTTTTTTTTTTTTTTTTTTGCAGGCATCTTGTGTACTGCATCTGGGATCTGCTAATCGAATTTCTTGTCCCTGAGCTGTCTGACGAGGACTTTCTGAAAACACTTCTGCACAGCCTGTCCAAAAATGCTGAGAAGCTTCCACCATAGGTGTGTGGAGACATAAAACCGCTTGCATACATACATACATACATGCGTATCACATACAAACGTGTGAGGTCCGTTGCAGTGTTAGGTGGAAATACAGGCAGGAATATGCGATCAAGAAAGTGTGGATTTTATTCACTTTAGCCTGTGTCTGGCACCAATTTGGTCTCCCTGTTTCTGGGACACACTACGCACATCCGGGCAAGCATTGATTAATGGACACCTGTTTTGTGTTTTATCAAACCACAAGTCCTATCTCCAAAAAGCCCTACATACCGGATCTGAATTAGTCGCAAGTTCTCCAACTTTTATCCACTTTGGGCAATGCTCTTACAAATGGACTGCACAGATCATTTCCACACCGTCCTATTACTTGTTTATGGCCTTTCAGTCTTGTTATACCTTGAGTTTACACACATTCCCTCCCAATGATTCCTCAGACGCTGTCCCAGTTTGATCTCTTTAGCCTTCCATTGGAGGAAAGCCAATTTTTTTCCTTGAGATTCCTCTTTGAGTATGAAATTTTGTCACATCTGCTTCTGGTGTCACGGTAAAGTTGTACGTGCTTTGTGTGTTTTCAGCCAATTTATGAAGCCTTTAAACAATGTCACTGTTCACAACTTCTAATTAAGTGGTTAGATGCTGACAAGAATGCCTCTAAAGAAAAGATCATGTTGATTCATCAAAAACGGCCAGTTTTCAGAACATTTGTCTTAATATTTATTTACCGCTTTATTGAAGTATGTAAGTTATCCTAAAGTGTTAATTCACCCAAAACTTGAAAATTCTGTCTTTATTTACTCATGTCATTCCAAACCTGTACTACCTGTGGAACATGTAAAAGAGGTTTTGATAAATGTCAGGACTTTTTTTGTCCATATAATGAAAGTCAATTAACATCAAAACTATTGGGTTACCAACATTCCTAAAAATGCCTTTGTTTTGCACAGATGAAAAAAAAGAAAAGAAATCATACCAGTTTGGAACAACATGAGGGTAAATAATGACAATGTTAATTTTTGGGGGATCTATCCCTTTAAATGTTTAATTTATTTAAATGTTAATTTCCTTGTATGTACATTATAAAAAGGCAAATTGAGTTTGAACAACAAATAATAGAGAATTACATGGTGTATTGGCTTTATTGCCTTAATGTGTGTAAATAATCTAATTCAGTTAAAAATCAGTAACAAATGGATGCAGGTGTGATTCTTACTGTCAGTTTTCATGTTTTATTAGCATCATTGCGTCATCTTGTCACCATTCTGCTTGCACAAACTACCCAGTATTTGTGTAAAACGATCCTGTACTTTCCTTACGTGATCATGTGAGCTGTGTCCCAATGCATGCTGATTTAGATTCAAGCTTTGCACTGTAAGCCCTGTTGCCCAAGTGTGCATTACAATGGCTTGATGGCTTTGTTACACTGTACTCCTGCGTAATGCACTGAATGTTGCACTATTTGTAATTTTGTAAGTGATCTGGTGCGTATATATTGTAGGCCTTATGTTGTTTTATTGTATATTGAAATAATGGTATAAAAAGCAGTCGATATTGTCATTGAATTCAGTTGTCACTTATTTACAAAGTGCTTTCAATTTCGGTTAGCATGTTACACTTGTTTGAAACAACTTACCCAAACATAATTGTGATTCAGTTTACATTTACATTTTACATTTAAAACAGGAAAACAGCTGGTACCAAAAACATACTGGGGATTTATATATTAAATGATGCACACAAATCTACCAAAAAAAAGTGAACAGAAATTGTTTCCGCTTCTTTAGGTCACACAGACTCGTCACGGGTAACGTTTAGTTGGGATGGAATGGAACCTAACAAAAAATGAATGATTAAATGACATCAACCACAATGTAATATAAAACTATTGACTTGTTTTATTAAATATTTCGACAATATGATCTATGGTTGTCAGTAATTCATGAGCTTCACATGATATAAATTAACATGTTGTGTTGTGAATAACTGAAGTTGAGTGAACTGTGATTTTAAACAGCACTTCTCGACTAAAAATTATGTAATTCTATTGGCAGTATTTTTAATGAACAGAATTTGGTAGCACTTACCCTACTGCTAATTCTTTATGGACACGCTGTCACTTTAATGGACCCGTCAGTGCTTTTATTCCATCTACTTAATACATTTGTTTCCATTATTGAAATGTAACATTGTGTCATCATGCTAATACACGTGGTCGGTCGAAAAGAACAAGGGGAAGCATTTGCCAAAACACATCACTTGCTACAGTAAATCCTCCTCATGCTAAATAACACTGCACTGCTGTTTCTATGATGTGAGATTACACAAGCACAGACATCTTGGAGCTAAACATCCAGATTTTCCTAGAATTTGGTGGAAAACATCTCTCAACCTTTGTTCAAAGTTTTTGCCCTTGGAAAAATAGGTCTATCTCCAAAATCAACAGAAATGGATTAACAAAGAGACGTTGGATTATTGAAATCAGATCTAGTATCTGGGACTAATTCTGGGGTCGACACAATGAGTCTGGCAAGTTGGCGAGTCTTCAGAGTGTGTAGTCATCATGACCCTTTACCTTCACTGATTTCAGTCACAACAAACAAATACCGTCTGTCTGTCTTGTCTGTCATCTTTTTTTTGAATGCAGACTTCTACTTTATTACACGATATCAAAAGGAAACCCTTTAAGCTTTCAACATGTATGACATAATTTGGTGTACAAGCACCAAATATAATTATGCATTAAGTAGCCCTTTCTTAAACTTGCATGAGTATCCAAAATGTTGTTAAATGACTGCCACTGGATCGCATAAAGGCAAGCTGGCAAAAAACAAACAGGTTAAGTGCTCTTTAAAGGACTTTGGCACTAACCTGAAAATAACTTCAATAACCTCATCTCAGAAAAAGGTGATAAAGGATTAATGATCCTTAAATCATTCTGTGTTTTATTCAGGAACTAGTGATGTGCTCATGGAAACTAGAAAAAACAAATGAAAGGACACCTAATGCTCAAATACGAGCAAATTAAATGAGCAATCCGGCAGGCTTGTTTTTATATTAGTAGTTTTTAATGTGTCTATTTAAAGTATTTGAAGTAATCACATGTGACATAATTACAAACTAACAATTTAATTTGTAATAAATTATATTAGTAATTATTTTAGTATGTTATATTATATTAGTAATTTAATTAGCCAACAACAACATGTAAACCATGTTCTTTTGACATGTGCAGTATGTGAAATGTTTATATGCCAGTACATCCCACAAGCAGTTCCTACAAATATTAGGAAACACTCAACAGAACATCTATAGCTCAATGAAAGAAGCAGGCCTGTTATGAGGACCCTGTCAATAACCAACGTGCACAGCACGCTTGACAAATAAAACAGATTTTATATTTAATGTTTTGCACTAGTTTCTTAGTAATATATTGTGGAGTGATATGGCCCAGTGGTTAAAGATTTGGGCTGGTAACTTAATGATTGATGGTTCAAACCAAGCAAGTTGTAGCTGTTCTTTTCCATGCAATGAAAGTCAATGTACTTATTAAGTACTTATTATGTGCATTTTGGAGCTTGACAGCTATTGGTCACCATCCACTTTCATTGAATGGAAAAGCAGCTTGGACAATCTGTTAAATATCTCCTTTTGTGTTCCATAGAAGAAAGAAAGTCATACGGTTTACGCTCCGTTTCAATGCAAGACCAGATGAAAATGTCAACACCTTAGAGTAGTTAAAGATGAAGAGAAACCTGATGGTATGTATTTGATTATTTCTGGCTCAGGATTTCGATATTTTTGAGTCATTTCTAAATATTTTCGTTTGACTACATATTACGTTACATCCTGCTCAAGCTGGCAAGCAGTAGCGTTCACTTCATTCATGAGGCGCGTGAGCACTTTAGTAATTTAAACCAATAAATCATCAGCTGTACTTCATGACAAAAGGACACTGATAAATTGATCCTGCCTTTTTGTATCTTTGGCCATGTTGAACATTTTGGCCCTGCGCATATTTCTTGCATAGGCCACAGGCCTCAGTTTTTTTTCTCTTTGTAAACTTGTTGAATAATTAAAGATTAACATGAACTTCAAACCCATCCACATCTATGTGGAAAACACATGGCTTCACTGAAGATATGCAATCATTTGCTGAACGTTTATTCTCTAGGACCGTTTGACGTTCTTTAGTTTTGGCAAAAATGAGATGCATATTTTTCTATATTTCTTTTCCCCCCTCCCCCTATCTTATGCAACAAAAAATACAAGCAAGCATGCGTTCAATTAAGACACTTGTGTTGAGCCAACGAAAAGTTTCATTTGGTCTCTGGTTTGTGTTATCCCGCGGTTTTAGTCGTGGCCAACAAGACGTGTTTAACACATCATGTCAGGTGCTTTTAAATAGTGTGTTTTTATATTTGTAATTATGCCGGACAGCATATTGTACTGTCTTGTATTAGGGAAGAATTTTTGTGATGTAGTTCTCTCTCACAATGCCTCCTGGTGATCATCCAGTTCTTATATTCAGTATTCGCTCATGTTTATATATAGTCAGCATGTGAAAATATGAAGCAATTATCTTTCAACTCGCAGTTGTTTATTCAGTGTATAATTAGTGTTTACTTGCATTTACAGAGTTCATACTATACCAGAATAGAGCTTTTGTTCTAGTTCTGCCAAAAGAAGGAGCTCTAGAGCTGCTGGGATTTTTAGGATAGTTTGGTTTTCAACCACAAGGTGTCAGTATAGGCAAAGACTAAAAGTTTAGTTGAGGTAAAAAAAAGACCCCCCACAACACTTTTGGACACTTATACCACACTTAAAGGACTAATGTCATTCTTTAGATAACAAAATATCAAACCAAGTGAAAGCAAATGATGCTAGAGCTTTTCTCAGAATTATTGACTTTGTTTGAGCAATTTTGCTTTTACATTTAAACTTTTAAACTGACATCAAGGTGATTATTATTATATTTTTTTCCCAATATTTGACAACCACGGAGTGTCCAAATACTAATAATATAATATATGCACTACCATTCACAAATTTGAGATTAGTATAATTTTTAAAAGTTTTTCTGAAAAGAAATAAGCATTTATTTGATCAAAAAATGACAGTGAAAACATTGAAATGTTGTGAAATAATATTACAGTTAAAATAACTGTTTTCTATTTGAATGTATTTTAAAATATTATTTATTCTTGTGATGCAAAGCTGATTTTTTTTTCAGTGTCACATGATCCTTCAGAAATCATTCTAATATGCTGATTTCGTGCTAAAAAAATCTTATTGTTATCAGTGTTAATTTTATTCTTATTATCAATGTTAACCATGTTAAAACAGTTGTTGCTCCTTAATGTTGTTGTGGAAACTGTGATATTTTTTTTCCTTTCACTTTTATCAATTTAAAGCATCCTTGATTAATAAAAGTATTATATATTATTATTTAAAAAAGGTACTTACCCCAAAAGGGAGTGGATTGTAGTGTGTGTGTGTGTGTGTGTGTGTGTGTATGTATTATAATTTAAAACGTGAAACAAGTTATGAAGTGTGTTTGTGCTATCACTTTTCAAAATGTGATATTTTGTTATATATATTACTAAGACACTTTTAAAGTGTGGCTTAAGTTTCCAAATACTTTTTGTGGTCTCTGCTTGTATATTTCATATTATCACCAGCTGTATTTTCACTGGCCTGACCTGACGATCTTTCAGAATCTCTATTTATCTCCAAACCTTCAGCTGTAGTTATATGCAC